TGTTTTGTCTCTCTCCCCTCCCTCTCCCCGTCTCTCTCTCTTTCTCTGCCTTTTTTCTTTCCTTCTTTTTTGTTGCTAGCTGCGGGAATTTTTTTTTTTCCCTGTCGTTCTCTCTCGGCTGGGCGAGGAGGGATCTGTGAACAGAGACGAACCGCAGCAAGACAGTAAGTAAGCTGAGCTTTATTGCAGCGTGTGTGTGAGAGAGAGAGAGAGAGAGAGAGAGAGAGATGCATGCATGCACGGATGAGGGAGGTTTGGAAGTGTCTGAAGCAGTGCTGGATGAACACGGGGGCTGAAACGTTGCCCGAGGTGGAGGCTTTTGGAAGTGGCTGTAGAAACCTGATTGGTTGAGTTCCTGTGTCTGTCGCCTCTGCAGAGCAGCAGGTGAGCGAAGGTGCACATGTGCACTGTATCGCACTGTACGGACGCTCGCTTAAGTGCATTTTCTCCTCTGATCTTCCAGCAGCGAAGAAGGGAATGAACGCCTCTTTATCACAAACACCCAAAGGGCTTTAATTAACCGGGTGGCAAAGCCGAGACCAAACACTAGCAGCATAAAGTTAGCACATCTACGGTGTGTATGTGAGCGTGAAAGGGGGATACGTGCACGTCTGTGCCAATTATCACTGGTGTTAAATGTGTAAAGAAGGGATAAAGAGAGACAGAAGCATGATATGCAGTCTCTTCTGTCACACGCCCACCCACATACACTGGCATGCATGTAGACTCACTCACCCAGCAACACCCACTGACTGAACTATTAGCACGGCAGCCCTGAGTTCTGCTTTTAAATACGAGACCAGGGTGTTTCTCCCTACAGCCCTCCTTCACTCTGCCTAACACTCACTAATGCGCTTTAGTACTTTAAACTTATGTATGTATGAATATCTGAATTTGGATAATTGGTTTGCCAATAAATGCAAAATGATTTATTTAATCATTTCATTTCTAGTTTAACGCAACCATTAAGCAAAAGATGAGATCAGATACGAGATAATCCAAAAAAAACAGAAGTTTCCAAAACTGGAGTTCAAAAAAAGGATGAAAGGCAACTGTGAGAGACCTGGTAGACCACCAAAACTGACCCCGTCAAAGAAACGGTACTCAAAGCTTTCATCTTAGGAGAAACTCTTGCTTCAAATCTTTGTCGTATCTGACCATAAAACCCGGTTGCAAGCTAGAGCTTTTTTCCAAACCCAGGACCGCTTGCTCTGCGAGTTTGGTACGTTTGGTCAAGTGTGAAAGCTGTTTTCAGGCCTGGGAGTGGTCCGGAGAACCGATTTTAGGTCCTTACAAATCTGTTTTCTGGGGTTCACTTCCACACTGTTAGAAATTAAGGTATGAATCTGTCACTGGGGCAGTTCCCCTCTTGTCAAGGGTCCATCTCAGTACCTTTAGTCAGGGAACATAACTGAACCATAATCCACTGAAATGATATGTTCTAAGCTGTACTGACTCCACACACCCCGTCTCGTCTCCAGGCTTTTATTTTACTGTTCTGTTTTAAAACATTCGGTTATGAAAAGGTACAAATACGAACTTTTCACCTGGAAAAACTTATTTAAGGTTCACAATCAGACCTTAAAACCACTGTTGTACCTTTGAGGGAACAGTTAAACTGTTTGTACCCTCATGAACAAAAATCTACCTGCATAGAAACTTTAGTTCTAACAGTGCAGCGAACTCTGGTGCGGTCTGCTGCGCTCCACTCCCAGTGCTGTGTGTGGAGTTTTGGGTCATTGTTTCATCGGTCATGTAAGGTGACCGCTTCGACTTATCACGCTACTTCCCTTTTCAAGTTTCAGAATGGTAAGGAGGTGATTGTTGTAGACAAAAAGCACTGTCCTTTTCTGCTTGAGTGTTTGTATGTGAGGAAAATAATAAAAAACAGTATGGATGAAGCTAGTGCTGACCATTTTGGACATCTGCACAAAGAAAACTGACGTATGGATTTGGGCAATTAATCCACAGTTCGGACGGAATTCTTTTGTGTGAAACCAAACCTGCGACAATGAGCCCCTCCCCCAAATGAGACCCAGAATCAGGCCTGGGTGTGGACTCAAGTATTCGGGACAAGTGGGAAAACACCCAGAGTTCAACTAATAGTGTCTAGTGAGCACCAGGCACTTTCTGGTTATATAGATTAAAGAAAAGGCTTTCTTCTGGCTCGCCTACCAAATACCTGGCATGAGGATACCATTTACCAAGTGGTTTTGAAGACCCCAAAACATGACCATCACCAACCATGATCCTTGGAGAAATGTTTGCCTCGCCAACTATCGTCCTCGTGGTGTGTGGGTGTAAAATAAACATGCATCCTTTTCTAGAAAGGTTCACTACAGCTCTGGTTGTTTTAATAGTAATTATTGTCCTAACAGTAGGGGAGGTGTGTAGCTGACCAAGAACAATGGACAGGTCACCCCAGAGTCCAGACCTCAACATCATTATTTGGATTGTGAGAAGCAGAAATTGCAAACCAACTTCTAAGACGGAACTTTGTAGGTGTAGAAAAATCTCCCTGCAGAGTTTTCTGAAAAACTCCTGAAAAGTGTGGAAGCTGTAATAAAGGCAGAGTGCACGCACCATATATTGAGAAATGCGATATTATATTTATTTGCTGAGGCTTCTGTATAATTTTGTGTTTTCTGCTTTTTTCCTGATGCTGAAAAATGAATAGCTTATGTTAATTTACCCTCATTAGTCCCACAACGGGGAAATCTCACCTCCGCATTTCAACCCATCCGTGCAGTGAAACACCCACATACACACTAGTGAATCCCCAGAGTGGTGGGCAGACCTGTCCATGGTGCCCAGGGAGCAGTTGGGGGTTAGGTGCCTTGCCCAAGGGCATTTCAGTCATGTACTGTCAGCTCAGGGGATCAAACATTGATATGGCCAAACATGTATATGTATAAAAATGTGACTCATTGATTTAGCAATAAACATTCTACATGTAAACATATGGACCACTAGTTCTGGCATATCTTTTCTGGCGTATGGACTGTGCGCAGGAGCAGCAACTCCAAAGACGATGTGTGTGGGTTTGGTCAGTAGGAGTTTTGTGATGGGCAGAAAGTGTGGGGAAAATTTGATTTTGTGCAGTTTGGTTTTTGCTGCTGTTCTGTTTCATCGAAAGTGGTGAGATTTGCACACACTGTCACTCACACACACACACACACACACACACACACACACACAGCTTTCAGGGTGTGCTCGCAGTTCCCTGGTGTTCACTGTATTCTCGTTCATTGTCTCTCCAAACATAGCTGATTCCATTTAGCACCACATTAGTCTTGCAAGCCTCACTTCTGACTGTCATCAGAGTCTGGTGGCTTTCGTCGCTCAGTGTGGGCAAGACTCACCTACTTCAACAGGAAAGGGCCGTTAGACTGATATGCATCCTTGCTTTGAGTAAAACTGGAATAACCGTTGAAGTTTGAATGCTCTGAACTTCTTTTTAATCCAGCGACTTTGTCTCTTTTTTGATTGTATCATTGTACTTATGGTGCGCAGAGCAGGCAACTGAGGGTATAAAGTTGTAGCTGTCTCAGTGTACATCACGTGGGCATCGTAACTCTTCGGGCGGAGCTTCTAAGGCTGGGATAAGTTCCATTTTAGAAAAGCATTACTTTTCAAAAAGCACTAACTTAACATCAGGGCTCAGGGACAGAACAGAAAACCCTATTTGAACTGTGTTGCGTTCCAACCGCAGCATAACATTCCTAAACTGATTATAACAAAATGAAACAATGGTTAATTTCTTTCCTTTTACAGAATTTTATTAGGGCTAATGTAATAAACCTGGCAGTTGTGATTGTATTCATAAGCACATGTTCACACTAAATCGTGCTATGGAAATTTACTGTTTCTGAGTTAGTAAACACATAGCTGTGAAATAGCTCATAATAATTTACCGAAAATTGTTTTAAAAATAAGTCCAAACGCAGTGCTACACGTTGTCTACGGAGTCTACAGGGCCTGTTAGTACCAATCTTGAGCACATATCAAGAACCATAAAACTGGAACCTTTGGAATTGGACTGCTCACTAGAGGTGGGCGATATGCCAAACATATAGTACTTCAAGACATTTTTACGATACACGATACGTCTTGCTGCTTATTATTACATGTGATTGGTGAACAGAGAAAAAAGAACCAGTAGTGCTGCATTTTTTTTAAATACCATCAAAAACTGTGAACTCAATTCTTGGTGTTACTGGGCTTCACTTAATCCGGTTAGGAACAAGTCCAAAAGAACTCCAAATGCAATGCTACACATTAGCTGTGTCCCAAATCAAGACTGCATCCATCCTTCGAAGGATGCAGTCTACAAAGGTGTGTCCTTCTAAGGCTGCGTAGTCCAGCGAAGGCTGAACCAAAATGAGATGGTCTGCTCTACACCGCTCCTGTCAAGCTCTTTTAAAGTTCTTTAAAGATGGAGCCAGAAACTGATTTTAGTTTTTGATTTTTTTTTTATTTATTAGAGCTGGAGATGCTTCTCTCTGTTGGCTCTTTGCTCCCTAAAACAAAACGAAACGTTAGTGTAAGTGTTGTTTCAGACCACGTTGGCTTTTTTAACATTTGTATCATTCGCTATTCGACTCAGTTTAAACCCAATACTTACATTTAAGTGTCTCTTCAGCCGCTGTTCGCTCCTCTGCTGATGACGCCAGTTCTCAAATCCTCGACAGCACGCAGTGAACCTTGGGATATGTTGGCTAGCGAAGGATTCACCCGTTGGGTTCTTTGTTGCCATGGAAAAGGACACATTTCTCAGCCGCATATGAAGGAGCCTTCATATGGGAAATGGGAAAGCCTAGTCGCGCCACTGTGACGCAATCAGCCTTTACATGCAGCCTCTGAAGGACGCAGCCCCTGAATTGGGACACGGCTATTGTCTACAGAGTTAGCAAACTCCCAATTAAAAATGGATACACATGCTAGCTGGCTAAATCTATGGTTCTCAAACCAGTCCTCAGGGCCCTCCAGATGGTCCACATTTTTGCTCGATTCCAGCAAATAAGAATAGAGCAAAAATGTGGACCATCTTTGGGGCCTGAGGACCATTTGAAAACCACTAGGCTGTTTCTTACATACTAAATGGTTTTGAAATATAAACTAGAAATATCAGCTGCTTAAGTTGTGGGCTACATAGAACGGGAAC